CCATGCTAATCCATGATGATGCACCATTCATGTCCATGCTAATCCATGATGATGCACCATTCATGTCCATGCTAATCCATGATGATGCACCATTCATGTCCATGCTAATCCATGATGATGCACCATTCATGTCCATGCTAATCCATGATGATGCACCATTCATGTCCATGCTAATCCATGATGATGCACCGTTCATGTCCATGCTAATCCATGATGATGCACCATTCATGTCCATGCTAATCCATGATGATGCACCATTCATGTCCATGCTAATCCATGATGATGCACCATTCATGTCCATGCTAATCCATGATGATGTACCATGCACGCACACTTATGATGCAGTCTGAGAGCTGCTCTACATCACTCAAGGTGCCTCTCTCTCTACACCAAAGCATGCACTCCCATACCCTGCCCTCGCATCAACATCAGGTGGTGAAGCAGCGCATGCAGACAGGGCAGTTCCCCACTGCAGTCAACGCTGTCAAGACCATTCTCTCAAAGGAGGGATTCAGGGGGCTCTATGCGGTACGTTCCTTCTTTTATGCAGTACATTCCTTTTATGCGGTAAGTTCGCTCTTCTATGCGGTACATTCCCTCGACAGCACATTCCAGTTACATTCCTTTCCCTGTATGGTACGTTCCTATCTCATGCATTCCGTCTGCAATGCTGCGTTGTGTTTGCTCTGTCCGACACGTCCCTTTAAAGTATACATACATTTGCCTGTGTACCATTGGGATTGTACAATCTGTCCTCTGCTTAAAAAATCCTGTGTTACATATTTCCTTCTAAATATTGTTACAAATGGGCTGATGCCTCAGGGTTATGGCTCCTTCCTTCTGCGAGACCTGCCATTTGATGCCATCCAATTTGCCATTTACGAGCAGCTCAAGATCCAACTCAAGAAAACGGTGAGCTCCATCTCTTACAACGAGGGTCTACATTTGACTCTTGAAACCCTGAACCCTGGCAAAATGTTACTTCGGAAAAAATCAGGTGGGCACGAAATTCTTAATTTCGCCAACCAACACTTTTGCGCTGGCAAGCCAGGTTAAAAAAAAACTTTTCTGAACCCACGCCATGCAACAACTCATAGGCTTCTAGTTGCCCACCACAGCGTTGGCATCGTTGCAGTATACTTGTAGTTACGCTGTTTTTTGCAAATGTGGTGTCCTGGTCTGTCCTCACTAAAACTTCCTTTCATCCCTCCAATCCGCAAGCCACATGCTGTACGTGTGAATTTCTTATACCTGCAGTCTTTGTGACAATCATGGTTGCTTTTCAAGCCTCTATTTACTGTTTTTTATGCTGCACGTTTTTGTTGGTGCAATAATTTCAGCTGAAGCGGGACCTTAAGGATCCAGAGATGGCAGTGGTGGGGGCAATCTCAGGTGCCATCACAGGTGCTGTCACCACTCCTCTTGATGTCATCAAGACTCGGCTCATGACCCAGGTGTGTCATGTTGCGTTTATTGAATTTCTATGTTCGTTCAAGGTTCAGCAGAAGCAATGGAAAGATGCTGTGTGAGAAATAGCAAATCGCTCATTAACGTGTGAACTACTGTGCCAACTTCCTCTCCCATCTACCAAACACATGCACGTAATATTAATGCAGGGGACATCTGGGCAATACAAGGGCATCATTGATTGCATTCAGAAGACAGCCGCACAAGACGGAGCTGGCGCTCTTTTCAAGGTAGGTCTAAAGGAGCAAAAATGCATGCTCGTCGTCGTGTTTCACCAGGACCACTTGTGCCTCCTACATTACACTATGAATTATGCAGTAGCACTTCCAAACCAGCACAAGCATTTCACCCAACTCTTACCTTCCTCCCAACCTACAGGGTGTTGGCCCCAGAGTTATGTGGATCGGTATTGGAGGGTCGATCTTCTTCGGAGTTCTTGAGAAGACAAAGCAGCTAATGCACCAGGCATACCACACACCTCCCCCATCAGAGGCATATTTCTAACCAGTAGCTGCTAAACCAGGCTCGTGTCTTCCACAAAAAGCAGGTACCAGTATTCTGTCCCTCGGTGTTCTTCATCACATTTATCCAAGCCCAGTGACAATGAGGATACAGAAACATACCGTAGGCAGATGGACTAGACAGAACCTAGCAGCCTTAGCGATTGATCATAACAAAAGACAATCTACCTACCGCATTCATTCAAAAGATCAGGGAAACTGGAAGCAGCATCTAAAATAGCCTCCACAGAGGAATGATACTTTAGTTCTAGCTCCTTTCTGGATTTTGTGTTGTCAAATGTAGGAGCGTTGCGGAAATGCCTTGCCACAATTGCAGTTTTGGTTCCCGGGAAAATCAGAGGTGCCAAATACATAAAGAATCCTGGCATTGCGTATCTGGGAACTTTGGAATCCGGATACTTCTTCCGAATCACATCTGCAGTTCAGAATGAAACAAGATATGTGGTTAATTGCAACTGGGTGCACAGTTAAAAATGACCATGGATTGCTGTCCCAGTTGTAGGGAAGAACTTACCTGCAATTTCCAGCATGCTCAAGGTGTCCCCATTGCATAGTATGTACCTCCCTTTTGCTGCATTCTTCTCGAGGGCAACAACATGAGCAAGTGCAACATCATCGATGTGCACTATGCTGAAGTACAGACTTGGAGCCAGGAACAGCTGATTCTCCAGAAGTTGCCTTATCACCTGCATAATAGAGCAAAGATGCAAAGTCAGAAGTGTGACTGTTTCAATCTATTAAGGATCAGCAGCCCCATCAGCACTTAGCCATACGTTGAGGCTTGTCCGAGCGTGCTCCTCACGTATGGCTTTACCAAACACCATGGTTGGACAGATTGTGATTAGGTCGAAGGTCCAGTCTTGTCCCTTCAGATCTTCCACCGACTTCCAGGCATACTTCTCCGCAAGAGTCTTGCCCATCGGATAAGGATCATAAGGACCCCAATTTTCATTCCAATCTTCTTCAGTTAGTACTCGATTCGAGGAGTAGTCCATAACTGCCGCTGCAGATGACGTAAAAACCACCCGCCTGAAATATTAGAGTCCAACGAAACAGCGGAAAGAGGGAGAGGAGTGAAACCACGGGAACAGCAGATGCGTGAACGGGCAAAGCTGCGTAAACGAAAACGTGTTGGCTTAGGTTTGAGCGAGAGAAAAAAAAAGTTAGTAGTTAATTTTCAAGTCAGGTCCTCACTTAGCAGTTTTATGCTTGAGAATGGAGGAAAACACATTCTTTGTCCCCTCAACAGCAGCATCAATAACCGTCTGCGGATCCGCCACTTTTAAACTAACAATGGACGCCACGTGGCAGATAAATTCGCATCCTTCCACTGCTTTATCAAAACTTCCAGCCGTAGTTAGGTCCGCGGTAAACAGCTCAAGTTTCCCTGGCCGTCCCTTAGCCTGCCAGACACGTCAACTGTGTCACGTTCTGCTTTATAGTGGCCTTTTATAGTCTCAGGCTATTTTATCATGGACATATTTGATGGGATGCTTATTGCGAATTCTTACAAGGTCGAGAATCCATGGTGTCTTCGTGTCGTTCGTCGCATCCCTAACAGTTCCTTTCACGTGATAACCCCGATCCAGAAGAAGCTTGACAACATGGCATCCAATGAAACCTGCAGCCAACTAGACATGAAACTTCAATTCCCACACATTTCTTCCATGGCATAACCTTCGAGTCGGCTGGATAACTTATCAAAAAAGCTGTGCGGACGGAAGACCAGATTTTTACCAGAAGCTCCAGTGACACAGACTTGTTTCCCTTCTCCAGGCAAAGAACCCTCACCGACCATTGCGAGCACTGCAGCACTGCACCTGACTTCAAGGTGTGAACTAGGGAAACGAACAAATGCACCCTGTCCCGAATGCCCCCACAACCTAACAGTTTCCGCAGCACACCCATCACCAAATGAGTCCTGTTGGATCTAATGCACCTTACAAGCACACCCATCAACAAGGAGAGGAGCTCTGTTGGAGAAAGTGCGTTTCATTATATAATGAAGTCCAACAGAAATGTTCTCACAAGGTAATTACCGTACCTCCACACAAAACTGCGTCGCAGTTACTCCATACAAAACTGCATTTACCAGAATTGTGATGTAGGCTCGTAGGAGCTTGAGGCGCGGTACAGATTCCTGGTACGTATATTTTAAGTTCAAGAGGTGCAGATACGGTTCTGTATGATCCAAACTGAATGTTACAGCTACACCCCCACTGCTAGATTGCTGGCATGCTCTAACTCCATTCCAGAGGACCATCAGCTGCCACAGGCTTCAACACGATCTCAGCTTCTTAAGCAACAAAATGACAGCTATTCAGTGTTATACACTACTCTCTCCAGCCTTGCCCAGACACTTTGGTTCACTGCCACCCAGCATCTAGGACACGGCCAGCATCACCAGCAACTGTCCCGACAATGTTACACCAGCAGCAGCCTCTCATTCCCGCACATAGAACAAAATATCTACCTCCCTAAACGAATGACGCTGGCGGCTGCTTCAAGAATAGCTTCTTCCGATGAACGGTAATGAAGCCCCAGTTCCTTCTCGGACTTACTCTTGTCAAATCTAGGAATGTTGCTCAAGTTCCGCCTCAATACCTCAAAGCTAAGAACCGGGTGGATAAATGACACTGCGTACATTAGAAGGTTTGGCATAGTGCAAGTGGGGACCCTAAAACCAGGATTTTTTTCCTTGATGATACCTGCAGTCAACAAGCACAAGGGAGGGTGAGTCAGTGTTCAGGGAAGCACATGATTCAACAACAGAAAACGTACATGCAATCCCTCTCATATGCAAGGTGTCGCCATTGCACAAAATGTATCGTCCCTTTGCATAACATTTCTCCAGTGCCAATGCACGAGCCAGCACAACAACACCATCTATGTGCACGATGCCAAAGTACAAGTCAGGGGCCATGAACATCCATCCACTCAGATGCAAAGGATATGCTCCTTTATGACCTGCATCCACTCAGGTGCATGCAGGGGTCAAGTACAAGTCAGCTCCTTTATGACCTGCTTAGATGCAAAGGAACACATAAAGCAAAGTTCAAATTGCCAAATTTTAATATCAGAGTGGTGGTTCTTACACCGAGGTTTGTTCGAACATGCTCCTTTCGCGTAGCTTCACCCAAGACCAGGGCTGGACAGATGGTTGTTGATTAGGTAGCTAGGAATGGTTTGACTATCGAGTGAGTTGGGTACAAGGACGAGAACCCTAAGGGGTTGTACCCTACATTGGCTACCCCACTACAGCCTACACCAAATTATAAACCATATATAGTTTGACACACCCACATACATAGGCAAACTGGGGGAGAACAAGGGCTCACAAGATCAGTCAAGAAAAGCAATGCAAGCTCAGGGTGGATCACAACGTCACCACACACTCCAAGCACAAGCAAGAGGGCCACAAGACCAGTTCACATGCAGAGGTATATATGCAACAACAACAGTACAGTGATCACTACCTAGCAAGAGTGAACATGTGGGTATATATATAGATCACAGTACAACCAGAGTCTACAGCAAGTGAGGAAACGTAGGCACCAGGCCTAGAGCAGTGCAGAAGCGCTGATGGTCACCAGCCGGAAGGGCCTTGGTGAACACATCAGATGTGTTCGCTCTGGTGGGCACGTGAGCAACACGAAGCTGACCACGCTGCTGCAACTCTCGAGCCAGGAAGTAACGCAGAGCGATGTGCTTCGTTCTGTGCTCCTCACACAAGGCAATGGTAGCCTTGTTGTCGACGTACAACACTGGAGGAGAACGAGGCCTCTCTCCCAAGTCGGTCAGCAGGTAGGTGAGCCAGCGTAACTCCTGTGCAGCCATGGCTGTGGCGTAGATCGCAGCCTCACAACTGGAGCTGACAACAGAAGACGAGCGAGTAGAACGCCAAGAAACAGAGCCAGAGCCAAGGCTGAACGTGTAACCCTGTGACGACTGCCGCGTAGCCAGGTCCTCAACCCAAGAAGCGTCTGAGTGCCCAGTGAGAACAACTGGATTGCGCCCTCCAAGCACGAGCTCCATGCCCGGTGTACTGCAAAAGTAGCGCAGTACCCTCTTCGCAGCATCGAAGTACACCTTTCGGTGCCTACCAGGAGCCATGTAGCGTGCCAGAAGGCCAAGAGGGTACGCAAGGTCAGGACGAGTGCAGGTCATTAGGTACATGAGGCAGCCCACTAGCTCTGGATAAGGACCACTCGGCTCTACGGACTCGCCCAAAGGTGGAGTTGAGAGCGAGTGACCTGTAGCCAGGGGAGTGGACTGTGGCGAGGACCAAGTGAAGCCGAAGCGCTGAAGGACCTGCTGCACCATGTGTGACTGAGTTAGTCTGATGGTGCGGCGTGCTCTGTCTCGGGTGATCAGCAGGCCAAGGTAGCTGCGCAGCTCACCCAAGTCTGTGCACGTGTGTCTCTTCTGCAGCTCTGACTTCCCAAGGGCGAGAGCCTCAGTGTCAGGAGTGGCAAAGACCAAGTCGTCGACGTATACGAGGATGTAGAACGGCGGCAGTGAAGTGTCGGTGCGCAGAAACAACGACGGGTCAGCATTGGAAGGTGCAAACCCAAGAGCCGCAAATGTCGTCCTCAGTGTGTCGTGTCACTCACGAGGCGCCTGACGGAGACCGTAGACCGGCCGCCGGAGGCTCCACTGGGTACAATGAGGGAACGACCAAGTAAGGCCTGGTGGGCAGCGCAGCGAAATCTCCTCGTATAGGCTGCCCTGTAAGAACGCTGTGCTGAAGTCCAGAGAGAGGAGCTCGTAGACACGCTGAGCGGCAACGTACAGCAGTACCCGAAGGGTGGTCATCTTCGGGGTGGGGGAGAAGGTATGGAAAAAGAAGTCAACTTCCAGGCGCTGACTGAAGCCTCGTGCAACGTAACGAGCCGTGAAGATAGGCGGAGATCCCGGCAGCCGCTTCACTCTGAAAATCCATATGCCATCGACTACGTTTGCCCCGGGAGGGGGAATTGCGTCGACGTAAGTGCCTATGGACTTCCACGATGCCATCTCTGCGTCCATGGCTGTCTGCCACTAAGAGGAGTACTCACCCGCGATCGCCTCAGCGTAAAAGCGCGGGGTGGGGATGTCTGGAGCATCTTGGTCTCCCTCAGGACCAAGCAGCATGGCCACGAGATGAGGCGCAGTGGCTACAAGACACTCAAAGTCCTCCTGCCTATCCTCAAGAACGTCCGTGCCAAGAGCACACTCACCCCCGACGAATTGATGACAGACAGACCCAGACTCAGCAACAAGACTAGCAGCAAAGTCTAGTTGACAGGCAATAGCAAATTCAACAAACTCAGACGCAGCAGCAGACTCAAACGACGGGTCAGTGACAACAGTGGCTAGCAGACGTGTGAGTGTTGGGTGAGTAGCACAAACCAGGTCAGACTCAGGGTCCTAAACGTCAGGCAGAGAAGACGTAAGAGGAGACGGGAGGGGAACACGTTGTGGAACAGAGCAAGGACTAAGTGCCATAGCGTGCGTGCCAGGGACAGGAGGCAGACGCTAACGAGGAACATGACTACCAGTGAGACGCGCGCGAACAGGCGAGGCAGGACGAGACGCAGCCTCACGACGCTCTGTAAGCGGGTATGTCTGCTCAGTCTAAGGAGAAGGAGCAGGCAGTGGTGCACAAGGCTGTAACGGGAGACCAGTAGAAGATGAGAGGCTAAGAATCTGGCGAAGCACGGAGTCAGGTGGTGGTAGAGACGACGGTGACGGAGGAGCGAAAAACAGTCGCGGCGTTGCAGTGCCACCAGTACCAGCAGCTCCAGATCCTCCAGCAGCGCCTGAACCTCCAGCTCCAGCGCCTCTAGCAGCATCACCTTCAGCTCCAGTGACTCCAGCAGCAGCACCTCTAGCTCCAACGCCTCAAGCAGCTCCAGAACCTCCACCTCCAGCGCCTCCAGTAGCAGCACCTCCACCTCCAGTGCCACCAGTAGCAGCAACCCCAGAATGGTACCTCCAGCCCCAAGGTCTCCAACGCCAGGGCGACAGCACCAGCTCCAGAAGCAGTACCAGTCCCGGCAACTCCAGTACCACCAGTAGGAGCACCTCCAGGACCAGAGACACCAACACTCCCAGCGCCTCCAAGACAAGCAGCTCCAGCAGCAAGACTCCTCAGGCGGGTACGCAACGCAAGCCACTCTCGTGCCTGCTGTGGTGAGGTAGGTCCGCGTCGGGAAACGAGACCCAGAGGAACGCCAATAGACTCAGCAC